CAAGTTCAACCACTTTCCCAGGGTGTTTTGCATCCTTCCATGAAAGGCCCTAAGATTTGCTTGCAGGTATTTTTTCATCCCAAACCTCAGCTGAGGCACAGAAATGTGTCCTTGCCCGTGCTCGGGCGGGTGATGCTCTGCCTCAGCAGGTTTGTACATATAATAGTGGCTTGTCTTGGAAGCTCCAGACAGAGATATAAAACTCCAAGACAGCCAGTTCTGCGAGAGCTTGGCCCCAGGGGAAATCTCCTCCTAACTGCAGGCAGTTAGTAGCTGGCTTGGAGTGCTTATATCCGTATATATATTAATCCCAGCTAATGTAACTACAGATGTTCTCATTCATAGCCCTATCTAATCCTGTTGGGCCCTTGCCATGGTGTCTCGTAGCATGAGTTCTACGAGTTAATTACGTGCAGTGCAAAGAAGCATTTCCTTTTATCATTGAAAAAGGTTGCCTTTTAACCGCCTTGAATGTCCCTTTGTCCCCGTGTTTTAAGGACCAGTGAAGAGGAGCACCTGTCTGACCTTCTCGGCGCTCAGCGTTGCTTGGCACCCCTCCATCGTCTCTTGGCAAGGCATCTCTAATCTTTTCCGTCCTCAGATGGGTGCCTCTCCCTGCCTTTCACTGCAGTTCCCCAGCTGAGGACGTGCTATTGATTTCTATAGTGCCATGATATTACACATTCACTGTTACTCTCTACCCCTTTCATAACACAACCTCCCATCTTGTGGCTCTTCTGAGCTCCGTTGCAATCAGCCAGATGTTTCATTGACTCCTAGATCTTTTCCTGGAGTGGTTGCAGTTAATTGGGACCCTTCAGTGTGTATGAGCCATCCTGTTCCCTCCTTCCAATTATGCAGCCTTCTGTGCACCGGATTTTGGCTGCTATCCCCTCATCCATTCGGCCAGTTTGGGTCTGTCTCGCAGAAGACCAACACATCTGGACTAGCCAAGTTGCAGGGGGTCACTTAGAAATGCTTTTAGCTCCCTGCTTTCCACTCCATGATTATTTTACAAGAAAAATCAGCTTTCATGGGCAGAGGCACCCCCACTGCTACCATCAGTGCCCATTAAAACCTCACCATAGATTCCTGCTCCTTGTTTCCTCCTCCACAGCCATGTTTTTGAGCAGCAAATAATTTCATTTTTCCCTAGAAATTCCTGATCATTTCTGCCACGTCAAAGATTTTTCTGTAAGATTTTCTTAAAGAACTAAATCCTGATGGTGATTTCCTTCCCCCAATGCTCTGTGGACTAACAGACTGCAGACCTCCTGTTTTCTTGCACTGACATAATTCCTCTTTGCTGCTCTCTCATCTCATTGCACCCTTGCACTCTCCTCTGTGGGGTGATCCTTTCAAGCAAGGCACGAGGGTACAGTAGAAAAATCACCTGTTATCCCCCTTATAATCCCCAGTCATGTCCCAGACACCCTCTTTTCCTGATCAGTGAGGTTTCCTCAGCCCTGGGGCCCCAAGGGCTCTGCTCAGTGCAGGGCACTGCCGACCCTCTGCACCGTGGTGGGTGATGGACAGATCCTTGCACTCAGGGAAGTTGAGGCCTGAAAAGCCGTTTTGTGAGTCCAAAGGTGCCCATCAGGAAGGCCATGGGGATGCCAAAAGGGGCGTTGGCACCAATCACACCCCCGCTGTGACTCTACTGCAGTCTTTCCTCAATTTGGTGTTACAGCCCAAAGGAATTTGAACCGTACTAGAAAAATCAGCATCAAACACCAGCAGCCCAGCCACTCCACGGCTGGGGAAGGAGAAGAGCCTGTAATTGCTGGCTGCAAGTGTTTGCACTGGCCAGGGAACTGCAAATTACCTTTAATTGCTCCTAATTGCTGGCGCTGGTTCAGTTTCTCTAGGACAGGGACGGCAAATACACATCTGCAGACACTGCCTAGACCACCTCCTGCCTCCCTGCGCCACGAGGGCTGAGTTGCTGCTGATTCGGAGAGTTTTCTGGAAGATAGACAAGTCAGAATGGGGTCAGGTTCTGGAGGAACCGGAGTGTTCTGCCCAGGGCAGCCGTCCCGGACACGCAGGTCCTGTGCCCCAACCAAAAGTTGGGGACTGGTGACACAAAGCACATCCCTCCACCCAGAGCGGATTTACCCCACCGTGTGTCAGCATGAGCTATCAGAGATCAGCCAGGGCTTTGTCCTGGTGAGGTCCTGGACCACGAGCTGGTGAGTCCCAGCTCCTCCATGACTTGTCTACTCTGCAGCCTTGGGCACATCACACGTGCCTGTGGGGACACGGGTGACATTTGTGTGCAGAGCCCTCACAGGAGCCCAGACTGGGGAGAGAGGAGACAACCTCAGACAGATATGGCTGTAAAAATAACCCAGCAGCTCTGGACAAGCTGTGCCGAGGCATTACCTCATGAGGGAAGGAAGCAGCAGCATCGCTATTTATTTATGTGGTGTCCAGAGGAGCTCTCTGTGCTCTACAGCCCGGCCTCCAAGAGCCTGATTCTGTAAATCTTACTCATCACCAAGGCTTTTTTTCCTCCCTTTCCCTCTCTCGTCCAAGCAGTCCCACTGAAATCGGTGCAATCCGCTCACATGGGGGAGGATTACTCACAGGATGGGGGTTTGCAGGCGATGCCTGAAACCAGCGCAGCCCCAGAGGGGACGCCTGAAACATGAGGCATGTTCCTCCCCATCCTCCTGCCCTTTGCCTCTTCTTGTGTAACCCTTCCCTGATTTGCTTATTTTTGTATTAACTCCTGCCTCTCTGCTCTTCTTTAACTCTTTTCTGCCCTGGCTCTTCTTCACTCTTTCACTTAATGTGTTTTTATTTCCTCTCCCCCAGCATTATCAAAGCCATCCCCTGGGGCTGCAATGGGCAGGTTTTCCCACCTAAACATCCCTCTGCTCTCCGAGCTCATCACCAGCCACACTCATTTCATGTTGAAACTTTTTCATTCAAAATTAAGTTTAGAAAAGCAAATTTTCTGCTGTGGACAGATTTGCAAGCAGCTATTTCCCAGGGACAGCTCACAACAGGGGAGAGAGCAGGACCCTTAACCAAAAAAATCAAATCAGAAGTGTTAGGAAAAGAGGAGAAAAGAAGCAAAAGCGTTGTTGGTTTCTTGAAGGTTTTTTTTCCCCTCACATGTGAAAAAATCATCAGGTTTTGGCAAGGCTCCATCTCTTCTCATCCAAGACTGGTGGAGTCAGGGATGGCAGCAGTTTGCTGGTGCTCTGGGAAGGGCTGCACAGGGATGGGATGTCCCATACAGGAGAAGGGGAAATCCTGGTGCAAGGAGGCCAGAGGCACTATCCAAACCCTGCTGGGAGGGGGGTCAAACTGGGAGCTGCTGGTACAGGGAAGCTGGAGCAGGATCATGCTGGGAGGGTTGGAGGGAAGCTCCAGCCAAACATCAAAGCTTGGACACCCAACACAAATGAATGTGGGATGTGATTTGTTGTCCCCAGATGAGGCAGATTTAGGGTGTCTCAGAGCTGGGGGGTTGCAAGACAAACTAAGAATCATTGCAGGGTCCAGAACAAACCCTCATGGGAGTGGTATGCCCAGTTTGGGGGATCTGGGGGTGTTTTAAGCCACTGGAACCCATGGAGACACTCGTACTGGTCCTGACCCACAGACCAGCCCCCTCCAGATTTTGGGCAGTGGGACATATTTTCCCCCAAACCCCCTTTCTAGCAGGCAGCTCCCCTGAGGGGCAGAAGGAGAGCGGGATCAGTGCTCCCCTGGGAGGGATTTGGCTGGCTCCTTCCCGAGGATGCTGCAGAAGAAAAGGAAAGCTTCCCTGCTTTCCTGCCTCTCCCTGCCACTGCTCAGCAGGGGCAGACCACAGTCTGGCACGGTGCTTGCAGCTCTTAGAAATCAGGGCTGTTAACAAATGTGCGAGGCCATAATCCTTTTGGAGCAGCGATGATAACAAGCCCTGATGCCTTTTTTTCTTTTTTGGCTTTTTTTTTTTCTTTTTGGCTTTTTTCTTCCCTTTTTTTTTTTTTTTAACCAAACATCTGCGCCGGTAAGTCCCACTGTGGGAAATGAGATGGTGAATGTTTTCAAGTGCAGTATTTACATCCCCTGCCAAACCCTTCACATCTGCCCAGCTCTGCTGTCAAGCCTCCATCCATCTGGCTGGGAACAGCAGGTCCTCCAGCCTGCCTGCATCCCACAAGGGCATTTCCTTCCTGCTCCCTCAGTGCCAGCTGCCAGGGATGCTGCTCAGCAGGGAAGGGCTCGAGCAAAAGCACTGAAAGGAGGAGGGTGGCTGGTTTGGTTTTTCTTGTAGTGCACGTGAAATGAATTCCCAACATCTCTGAAAGCACTCACTCCTGAAATGAATTCCCAACATCTCTGAAAGCACTCACTCCGTGCCTGAGATCTCCTGTGCTGAAGGGGCAGTGAAACACTCCTGGGTTCCTGGGTTTTGTCCCTCTTCCTTACAGTCCTGCCACTGCTCCTGGGAGCCTGAGGGTGTTTTAAGCTGCTGGGGTGGGGGCAGTGGGTGCTGCTTTTCCTGCTCCCCTCCTCTTTGAGTGCTGCAAACTCCTGATCACAGCACTCATGGATAAGGCAGTTGTGTTTCCTCTCAGGCACACGGTGTGACTCTTGGAGATGGGCCTGTGCAGGGCTAAGAGTTGGCCTCGATGATCCCTTCCAACTCGGTGTACTCTGTGATTCCGTGTCCACGGGTGGGTGTCCCCACACTCCCTGCCCAGGGCTGTGCAGCACCTGAGACATCCTGGCTGCGTTTCCATCCCCGCAGCGGGATGGGCTGTGGCAGGGCCACCCTCTCTCCGGTGCCATCCCCTCTGTGCCCAAGTAAGGGCCTCCACACCCCCTCTGCCAAATGCCACCTCCGTTCCAGGTCAGTGAGGTCGCAGGCTGGGTGGGATGTTTGCCGGCGGCAGGAAAGGTGGAGCCACGCCGGGATTGCTCCCCGACGATGCCACAACGTCGCCTGCGCCCGCTCTGCTCTCCCCTGACCCTCTTGTTGTGTGTTCCCTCCACAGAGTGCGATTGTCATCCCGTGGGTGCTGCCGGCCAAACCTGTAACCAAACCACGGGCCAGTGTCCCTGCAAGGACGGTGTCACCGGCATCACCTGCAACCGATGCGCCAAAGGCTACCAGCAAAGCCGCTCGCCCATCGCCCCCTGCATAAGTAGGTGGATCACTCTTTCAGTGTCTGTAGATTAGAGATATTAACCCTTAAAAACTCGCAGGAGCCACTGCCCGTGTTGGGAGGCTGCTTAACCCTGTCACAAACGACTGTGCCAGCGGGCAGTGCTGGGGGGATGGAGCTGCCTGGGTTCCCCTGCCATCTGCACTGCCCACAGGAGGGAACATAGCCCAGAATCCAGCACTGGCTTCCAAACAGCTTGTCTGCCTCATTGGGTGGGCTGTGTGGGTGCAGTTACAGACCAGTTTGATGGTAATTTGATTTTGCTTCATGGAGCAGAGGTGCCTCAAGAGCACATTTATTTTTGGGTACCACATCAGATCTGGATGCTGCAGCAGATCACTACAAACAGAATTTTCTCTCCAAAAACAGTTTGTGCTGCACTGACACAGAGCTCAAATCAGAGGAGCTGCTGGTTTGGTGGAGTTGCCATCACAGTAACACAGTGATAGCACCTGGATTGCTAAAGGGGATCTTGCACTCACACAACCCTCCCAGAAACAGAGGCTGTTTTATTGTTTGCTTCCTTGGGCTTGCTTTTCAATTTGCCTTCCCAAGGCTGCTCTCCTCCTCTGCTCTTCAAACAACAGCAGGGAGCACCCTGGTACAGGTACAGCTCCACTGCAGCATTTGCTCTGCAAACACCCAGATCTCCACTCAGCCCCTGCTGAGCTCTCACTGCCCAGGCAAGGTGGGCTTTAGCCTGGTGCTCCTCTCTGCTGCCTGTTGGGTTTGCTGCTGTTGGATCATTCAGTGGCTCATGCACCTTGTGAGACATCTCCCCCCACCCTAAAAAAAGGAAGCATCAAAATTAGTGTGCCTGGGATGGGCTGGGAAAGAGGAACTGCTCCCCTCAAGGGTGATTCCCTGCTGCTAAAAGGGGAAAAAGGCCCAACAAGAAAAGTGACGGTTGAAAGAATCAAATCTTTCCTGGGAACCCACAGCCTGCTCCTGCTCTGTCCCCCCACAGCATCTCCCTCTCAGCATGGCCACTGCTGAATTATGGGGAAGATACCCTTTCTCCACCTTCTCCTGGTGAAGAAAACATACATTCTGGGATGGGTTTTGGTCACTTGAGATTCATTTTTCCCCATGTTGCAATGGGACAGCAAGAGCTCAGACTAGATGCTTATTTCCCCAAGACCTCCAGTCGTGGCTCCAGTCTGCGCTGCAGCAAGTATGCACAAAGGTTTATCATTAGCCATTCCCCAGGGCCATGGCAAATCAGAGAGTAAATTGTTCCTTGCATCAGCTCCCTTGGGATTTGTTGCACTAAAAAAAGACAGACACAGGATTTCAACATGACCCATCCAGGGGTTTGGAGCCGGGCTGTGCTCACACAGCTCCCGACCCTGCATGCTCAAGGCTGGTGTGAGCCTGGCAGGGCTTCCCTGCCTGGCCCTGCCACCTGACCACCACCCAGCACCCATGGGAGGCACTTACTTCTGTGTCACTGCTAGACATCCTTGCCCAGGGGCCAAAGCTTCTGCTAAAAACGCTTTCCAAGCCAGGCTCTGGCCTGGTCGTCGAGCCCATGTTCAGTTGTTGGGAGCTGGATCTGCACATAGGACTCTAAAGCAATTCAAGTGAGGATATGAGCAACTCACAATTCCCTCATCCCAGAAAAACACAAACCAGGGCATTTTCATCCTTGAAAAATGTCAGTCAGCATATCCTACACGTGGGAGGGGATGGAGTTCACACATGTTTGATCTGTGTGTAGTGGGGGGCTCCATCCCTGCCCACGCTGCTCTCCCACTGCCACAGGCTCACTGCTGCTAGCAAGGGGCTGCCACCTTGCCTGCAAGGGCACAGTTACTCTCTGATTTACCACTGCTTATATTTTCCTTGTCCCAGAGACTTATAGTCATGCAAAAAACACCTCATGGGGAATGAACAAGACCCCAGTAGGGTCTGTGTGCACTGCAGGCAGGAGTACCCACCCAACCTTTTGGGATGGCTGTGCTGGCTATCCATGTGCTTCCTGACTATGTACTATGTCTTTCACATGGGCTATGCCTGTGTTTAATTTCATGAGAGTGAATGACTTAAAAAAATCATCTAATGCTAATTGGGCTGCACCCCTATGAGCTGCTGTCACCACAATGCAGACCGACCCCAGCAAACCCTGCCTTCGTGGCCAGGTGTGTTCCCAAGAGCACAAGTGGAAGGAAGCAAATGCTGATCCCCAGCTCATGCCTAAATTCCACTTTCAAACTGGGCTGGTAGGGAGTTCCCCCACCAGGATTACCAGGAATGCACAGAAATTGCATCATCATGCCCTGAATGTGTGAAGGATGTCTGTAATGAGAGCTATGTATGTGCTCTGGGAAAGGAGAGCATCCTGCAAAGCTGGGACCATCCCTCCATCCACAGCCCATCCCTTGAATTTCAACAAACACAGCCAGGCGTGGGCATGAATATCCCGAATATTATGTGGTTTTTGCTCTGGAAATCTGGTCCCAAATCAAAACCAGGGACCAGTGCATTGGTACCAGATACGTTTGTGTTTCCCTTAAATGTGTGAGGTAACACTTGCATCCCTACAGAGGTGCAATGCTTTACCTGCACCCTCTCACAGGAGAGGAGTGCTCACACTGCCTCAGACGTGGGTGGAGACAGCAGCTGGAAGGGACAACTCTGGGACACGGAGAGGCAGCAGCATTCCCACTGCCTGCAGGGGCTGGGCACAGTGCAGCCCGCAGCCACAAGCCAAAATGTTTTGTTAAAGAACCCCTTTCCCACACCCTCCAGGGAGGTCTGACTCCCCAGTAGGTATGGTCCTGGTGCGCTGCTTTCTGGGGCTCTTGCAATGCTCCTTGCTGGAGGACATCGTTGGGAAACCCTCCGTGCTGGTAGACACGGCTGGGGAGGGAACATGCAGTGTGTGCAGGGACCAGGCTCTCTGGGATTTGGAATAACTCCTCTTTCTTTTATCTCCCCTCTGCTCCTGCCTCCTCGCTGTCCCGCACAGAGATCCCCGCCGCGCCCCCCACCACAGCCGCCAGCAGCACAGAGGAGCCCGCAGGTACGTTCTCTCTTCTTTTGAAGCACTCTGATGCTAAAAGTCTTCTGAGCAACCCCCTCCCTTGAATGAAATTGCATTAAATACATAAATTCTGGTGTTCGTACCGGGACAAGTGGTTTCCTTTTACGCCCAAGTGTCTGAGTGCTCGAAACAGCTGTGCAGCATCCTGAGAGACGGGTGTTCCTCAGAGCATGTGGGAGTGTAGAGAAGGTGGAGAGAGGTTTTTCCAGAGGTTCTAAATCCATAAGCACACAGGGTGGAACCTAATGTGTGGTTCCACTCAATGTGGAACCAACACTTGATGGAAAAGGGGTAAGGATTCAAAACCACCACTAGTTGATTATGAAGTTTTGTGGTTACCTTCTCAGAAGGATGAGAACAGTTCCAAGGAGATTTTCTGTTGGAAAAGGGCTGGAGAACCAAAAATCCTCCAAAAGGGAAAAAATACCTAATCATTGCTTATTGCTGGATAGGAGCATTCCTGTTGTATTCCTAGATCTGTGCATTCCTTGTGCCAAGCAATCTCGGGTGCTGATGTGACCTGTGTGTGTTATAACAACGTGTCTCATGTCTGGGACTGAGCAGGGGATGATGGCAGGAGCCAGAGAGTCCCAGGAAAGGGTGACTTGTCCCACTGCCTGCAGGTTTCTGGGGTATTTGAGCAGCGCCACAGCTGTGAAGGACACGAGGTGTAAAGGCTGTTTACTTTTGCCTCAGCAGTGTAGGAGGGTTCATAAATTTAGGAGTTTGTACTAAAAGTGATGGACGTCACCTTGAATTGAACTCTGAGCCGAGGCTTGTCCCGTGGCAAGGGTTGTCACACAGGCTGTGTGTGTTGCTGTGTGCTCAGGAGCTCTCCCAGGGTGGGGAACCCAGGGAGCAAAGGGACAAGGTCTTAGGTCTCCAGTGTCATGGCAAGGTAAATCCCAGGGTGTTCCATAGGACTGATTTAAAGGACAAGTCTTGCTACATGTAAATGCAGAAGCAGCAACTCCGTGTTTCAGTATCAGGCTGGTCTGGGCAAGAATGATCTTCCAGCCTTGGGTTGTGCCTGTTGTTTCCTGTGTGCTTCTGGAAGCGTTCCCTCTGAGCTGCAGGGCTGGAAGGAGCCTGAAGACACACCAAGGGCTGCCCCTGGCAGCTCCCTCCAGCCCAGCCCTGCTGAGCAGCCCTTTGGGTGCTTTGCCTTAGACATTGGGTGCCAACATTGTTTGGGGAATCCCTACAAAACAAGGTGTTGGGTTATCAGGAACAGGGACCATCACACTCAACCTGAAGCCAAGCAGGAGCAGGTCTCCTCTTCCTCACAACGCCGTTTCCTGGCAATACCAGCCTCTGTTACCCAATCCATCAGGAGAAATCTTCTTCCCCAGGTCCTCAGGAGCTCAATCATATGCTATAGTGCAGCTCACCATCTTCTTTCAGCCACACAGAGCCCCTCCCCACAGCTCCTCTTAGCCCCTCTATCTTGTCCTGGCTGTAAGGGGACTTGGTGTGGGGATGTCCCCACCTTGGCCACCTGTGGGCTCCATGCAGATACCAACACAGCTGGGGAAACAACTCCCCCACTGCCCTGGGCAAACAACAGCTGGGGCAGCTGCATTTGGCCATCCCAAATCCCCACGTGCTACCTTGATTGGCCACAGCCCTTGCCAGTGCCTGCCCTGATGTGCTGTGGCAGTGTGACCTGCAGGAGCCCCAGGCTGAGAGTCACGGCCACCAGCTCAGCACCAGGCACTGTGTGGGGTGGGCTGGGGCAGAGCTGGGGCTGGTGCCCCCCTGGCCCCTCAGAGGGGTCAGGACAAGCACGGAGCCTGCAGCAATTGGACCCTTGAACAGGACAAGGGGGTGCACAGCCCATTTTAGGCACAAAATAGGGACATTTTGATGAGGAGCAGGTCCCTGTGCAACCAGTGGGGAGAGCCAGGTGCTCCCTGCCAGCCCTGCATCTCCCTGAATGCCAACAGGGATGGCTGCAGGGATCAGAGGCAGGTCGGTCAGGAGGTGCCCCTCACCTCAGAACAAGGCTTTGGGTGATTGCAGGATTTTCCAGCCTTTCTCCAAAGGGACCTTCTCTCCCTGGTGCTGCTGGCAGGGCACCCTCTGGTCCTGACCCCCCGCAGCCCCTGGCAGCAAACAGCTCCACTGGGGAAGGAGTGAGTCCCACAGCTCCCCACAACAGCATCCTCACTGTGGGGAGAGGGGTTATTTAGGGATCTGCCCAAGCCCAACTGAGTTGCCATTAAGCTACTAACTGAGAGCATCTCAGCAGGGTCAGAGACACCTCCCTTCAGCAGAGGAATCCTTGCTGGAGGCTGGGAAAAAGTTATCCATGGGGGCATCCTGACAGCCTGTGAGCCATGAGCAATGACTTGACAACACTTCTTGGATCCTTGTGTCACTGGAAGGCTGGATCTCCCCACTCCCTGCCCAGAAGGGTGACCAGGGACCAACCCAGCTCACCAGGAGCCACTTGTCCTGCCTCCTCATGAAAGCTGAGCCAAACTGAGCAATCTGATGGGCCCAGCACCCCATCATAATTCTACTCACAGTGATTTTATTGGACTTTTTAAGCACTGTTTTGTCCAAGGAGCTTGAACCCTCCACATTTCATCCATTCCCCTTGAGGGGGAACATCTGACAGTGCTGTGCCTTGGCAACCCTCAGGGCCCCCCCATCCTGTAGAATTCTGCTGAACTTTGTGGGGGTTTTTAGCACATCCTTAAATCAGTGTGTCTGCAAGCCAGAGCTCCTGTGCTGTGGGAACAAAAGGGTTACAGAGATGGAGAAGGTGATTAGTGAGAGATTTTAGACCCAGCCAGTTCTGGGAGAGATGCTGCTTTATTTCCTTTCCTTGAAGCTGCAGGGGACAGAAAGCACCACCCTGGCCAAGAGCTGAGAGAGCATCACTCCACTGGGAGCCAATGAGGGGCACATTGCAGAAGACCATGGGCCAAACCTGGCCTTGGTACAAGGGGTGGGACAACATCAGCTTTGGCGTGGGGGGTCCTGCCTGGCTCTGCTTAGCTCTCAGAGGTCCCAATCAATTTGGGAAAACAGTCCAAAACTGAATTGTTTAGATGAAATGCATTCATGCTCTCCCACTCTGGGAGATTGGAGGATGAGGAGGGGGTGCAGCCTTTTTGAGGCAAGAAGAGCTCGTGCTACCACCCCGTCCTTCTCTGGTCCCATTCAGAGAGGCAGAAGGGCCCCAGTGAAAGGGCAAACAAAAATAATAGTGGGGGGTAAAGGTTTACAAACCTGCCACTCAGTCATTGTCTTATCTGAATCAAATCCAGATTGGCTTGGGAATGATTATCTGAGTTGGATGATTTTGGCTAGTGGGCTTAAATAAAACCAGGTGATTGGATTGATGCAACTTCACATGGTTTTCCCCTGGAAATCAGCCTCTGCAGCTTCAAAACCAGATCTGGACTTCCCAAATGTCATTTGTGCCCTTTTGTTCCTGGCTGGTGAGGAAGAGGCTGGAAGCAAGTGCAGAAAAGGGGGAAACCCCCAGTCTTGGTGATCCCTGGGGGTCCCCCAGTGTGCACAGTTTGGCTGCAAGTTGCAGCTTTCCCAGACTACAGAGGTGGGTACGTGCCTTGATATCCAAATTTAGCCAGAATCCTCCCCCAAGAACCAGGAATGGGGAAAATTGGCCTCCCTGATGACCTGGAACTCCCATTTCAGCAGCATTTGCAGGTAGTCAAAGTATTCAAGCCCTAAAACAGGGTTAGTTTTCTTCTGTCTGAATGTCAGAAGCTTTAATCTTTGCCTGCCCATGCCCAGATGAATTGAGGTGATGCAAGGCCACCCTCTGAGAGTCCCCTGCTCCCAGGTACACACCATCACTCCCAGGACAATCACAGGGTGAGCAGCAGGAATGGGCTCCTGCATCCCTCAGCAGAAGAGCAAAATGCAGATTTCAGAGGGTGGTCAGAGGCTCACAGCCTGTCTCCATAGATAGGCATGGAGGAAAAAGGGGTCCCTGGGGTCTGCTGCCACCAGCATCTGCAGCACCCCAGCAAAACCTCAGCAGGCACAGGTAGAAGATGAGTTAAATAAATCCCTTTCTCCCACCACATGTACAGGAACTGTGCTTGAATTTCATGGCTCGGGCAGCTGGGAGAAATCTCCTTATCCCCAGGCTCCTAGCTAGCTTGTACCCCTGCATCCCCACGGGAACGTGCCTTTTTGGCTCCACAGCTCCACTCCAGGCAGATGAGTGGATCACTGTCCCCCTGCTCACAGTCCCGTAAACACCGCGATCATCACTGCAGCAACAGCTCAAGGCAAGAGTGACAGTAGGAAAGGATTAAATGTACCACAGCTCCTTTTAACGAGCTGCAGCCGCTGGAAACAAGGAGTCAACACCGTGTGAGATGCCAGCTGCCTCCACAACATCTGCGAGGGGTGCGAGGCTCACTCGGAAAATGACAGCGTGGGGACAGGAGCACAGCCAGGCTGAGCTTTCCTTTGGGATGGGAGCAGTGACCTGCCTCAGCCATCACCCAGCACTGGTGTGCAGTGAACAGGAGTGTGTGAACGTGTGCTGCCACTCGTGTCAGCACTCACAGGGTCTGGAGGGGATCAGCAGCACCGGATCCAAGCACAGGGCCCGGCACTGCTCCCTTCCTTCCCAAAGGGCTCCCGGGGGGGGGAGCTGCCAGGGCACAGCCCTGCCTGCTCATCTGGGTGAGGATGGGATGGGGCATGGCCAGAGGGACCCTGTGGAGAGAAAAGCCACAGCACTTTGCTCTGAGGAAGCTCTAACAGCGAGTGTCAGCTCTGTCTGTGGAGAGCCAGGCACATCCCATAGCCTGGGAATAAAGGTCTGCCCAGCTGCCTTCGGCACAATCGGGGGCAGAAACTGTCATTTCAGTCACCCTGGTGCAGATCTGGGCTCAGTCTGGGGGTCTCCAGCTTTGTACCCATCCAAATGAGGAATGAATTCAGCCCTGCATGGGTATTCTCTCGCCTGTCTCGGGCTGTAAGCG